GGAGGCACCCGACGTCACAGTGAGGGACGGAGACGCCTCGCCAGCTCCGCGCCGATCGTCGGGGCCACTCGAAGGGTGTCCCCCATCGGAGTCGGAGACCTCCGGCTAGTATAGGATTTACTGGCAGAATGTAAAAAGTGCCTCAAGCAAAACAAAGCAGGAACAAGCTGAACCGGCGAAGACTCGACAAAGTCCGAGGAGGAGCTGTCCTCTGGCTCGAGAAGTGCTTGCGCCCGCAAGGGCGTCATGCGCCTCGCACCAGACAAGAGCGCTTCCAGCGTCAGCTGCATAGTGAGGCGCTGATAGGTGGCGGCGCGTTTGCGAGCCAAGACCTCAGCAGCAGGTCCGTCATCAGGCACGAAGTGCCGACCAAACGCCGCATCCTCAAGAGGCATCGAGCGCTGAGCAATGATGTCCGCGAGATACCAGATGAAGCGGAGGGTGTCAGGATGCAGGGTACCGTCCGTAGAGATGGCAAGAGGGATGAACGCTCGAGGAGGTATATAGGATTTACTGGCAGAAGGTAAAAAGTGCCTCAAGCAAAACAAAGCAGGAACAAGCTGAACCGGCAGGCACACAGCGCACAGCGAGAAGCTGCACAAACACACACAAAACACAAGCTCCTGGCATCAACACCCTGATCTCTCGCAGCTGAAGAAGAGCCTTAAGCGCCGTCTCAAGACTCAACTTCTTCACTTCGAGGTCGTCACTGGCGGGATTACACTTGGCGGCCTGCCTATCGGCACGGATGGATTTCATGCTAGTCAGCTCCGAGCGAAGGTTTCTACCCTCAACGAAGAGCTCTCGAAGCTCGGGCTCGTCCAGCATGGCTTCATGTTCAAGACGCTGGTGAGGGCGAGCCATCTCCAGAAGCTGCGCTTCTTCCTCCAGGGGTCATCTCCGTTTCTCCCGCGGGTCCAATCACAGATTCGTCGCTTTGACCTCTCTGTCCACCTGGCGCTTGAGAAATACCACCGCTGGCCTTCCTCGCAGTACGGTACCTTGCCGCGCATCCCGACCTGCTAGAGTTTGCGAGGTTCAAGCGGGAGCTTCCGCATAGTCGAGGAGGGGACGAGTTCACGCCCTCTGAGGGTCTACACCCCGCTGTTTACTATACGGCTATCGCTCGCTTCCTCGCTTGGTACTCTGACCAGCCCATGTCCCGGACCCTGCTCTCTCCTCATAGCCTGGA